TCCAGCTCTACACCTTATTATCCCAAACTTGATAACTCGGTTGTGACAGAATGCTTCCAGGAAAGCAGTAGAAATGCTTTAGGCATGTCCTCAAAGCCTCTGATGAGCTCAGACATTCCCATCCAATCACGGGAGTGCCTGGCTTGAGACCGGCCAAAATTGAGAAGGCTCGTTCAGAAAAGCAACAAACCCATTGAGAGACTTCAGTGGCCAACACACAGAGGTGACATTGAGATGTCGGTGGGACTACACAACCCCCAAGCAGCTCAGCTACCCAACCTCTTCAAGCACCACCTTCCACACATTTTGCATTTATCAGCCATCTCAGAACCCATCTAACCAGAGTGGGAGCCAGCCACCCTTTCCCGAGAGGCTTTCTCTACGAGGAGACGGTTGTAATGGGTTTTTAATGGGTGATGCAAGAAACCATGGTCTGGTGACATCATGAAGTAGATTTGTGGAGCAAATGATTTGAAGGAGACAAAGTGGATTAAGGAACTGCACAGCTTTAGATCCTGAGGGATAATGAATTAGATAGGAATGGTTTGATTTTAACATAATGACAGGCTATATCTGTAACTACATTTATCAGGAGTTGCAATTTGACAAATAAATGCGTACTATTTTAAGATAAACCTCATATTACCACATAACCAAACTGCTTCAAAATACTTCACTCAGAGATAGTAAGAACTGCCGATGCTGGAGTCAGAGATAACAGCGTGGAGCTGGAGGAACACAGCAGGCCAGGCAGCATCAGAGGAGCAGGAAAGCTGATGTTTCATGTCGGGATCCTTCTTCAGAAATTTTCTGAAAGAAGGGTCCCGACCCAAAACGTCAGCTTTCCTGCTCCTCTGATGCTGACTGGCCTGCTGTGTTCCTTCAGCTGTACACTGTGTTATCTCTGTTTCAAAATAATTGATGCGCTGAAGCTAATTTGACTTCCTGTAATGGTGTGCAGTTGGTGCAAGTGAACTACAGCTCGTTTGCATATCTCAAATGTTATTGCAATCAGCTGCAATCAAGAAAGAACATTGGGAGGAATATGAGATGCGTTGCTGATTTGCTACTGCCTGTTTTGCACAGAGCCAAAATTTACCATCCAGTGTCTGTTGGGTAAATGCAGCTACCTCTCTTTGGTAATGTTGCATCACCACATGGTTGCAAACAAGGAGGAGACTTTTTTACCCTTTAAGCTCATGTCAGCTTTCTAAGGACAATTTAGCTACTCCCACTTTTCCATGCTTTACCCATAGCCCCACTAATATTTTCTCTTCAGGTGCCTTTTAATTTCCTTTTAGAAGCAGCAAGAATCTCAGCACTACCCCACTTTCCAGATCCTGACTGCTCGATACATCACAACATTTTTCCTCATGTCAACTTCCTGTTTTGCCAATCTACAAACCGTAAGACACAAGAACAGTGTAATGGACAATTCAGCCCCTAAGTCTGCTCTACCATTTAATAAGATCGTGGCAGATCTGATTTTCCTGTCTTTCTCCATAACCTTTATATTTCCTTACCAGATTGAGAATCTGTCTGTCTCAGGCTTGAACATACAGAATAACCAGCCTCAACAGCATTCTGTGGTCAATAGTTCTACAGATTCACTATCCACTGAGAGAAGAAATTCCTCCTCATCTCTGTCTTAAACCTTCAACCCCTTATTCTGAGATTATGCCCCCGGGTCCTAGACTCTCCCATAAAGGGAAATGACATTTCAGCATCTACCCTATCAAGTGTCCTAGAATCTTGTATGTTTCAATAAGGTCACCTCTCTGTCTTCTCTTAATCAACTTAAATCTTTGCACTCCTGTGGAAGGATCAAGAACCATTGGAAACAGCTCTCTCTATCTACTCTGTCAAGACTCCTCATGGTTTAATCACCCCAAACCTCTCCTTTACCTTCTCTAAGGAGAACAGTCCTAGTTTTTCCAAATAAAGTAATGTTTGTGGCACACAAATACCAGACAATGATCATCTCCAACATAACAGAATCCTAACCATCATCCCTTGACATTCAATGGTGTTACCATCACTGAATCTCCCACTATCAACATCCTGGGGTTTACAATTGATCAGAAATTCACTGGACTAGCCACATAAACGCAGAGGCTACAAGAGTAGGTCAGAGGCAAGGTATCCTGCAGTGAATAACTCACTTCCTGAGTCCCCGAACACTACACCATCCACAAGGCACAAGTCAGGAGTGTGATGGAATACTCCCCACTTGCCTGGATTGGTGGAGTTCCAACAGGACTCAAGAAACTTGACACAGCAGCCGGCTTGTGGCTTGTGACCACATCCACAAATATTCACTCCTGTCA